ATTTAAAAGAGAGACACTTTTCCTCTTGATAAAGGAAGAAAATGCACGGGGTATCAGCTCCTCAGCTTCCAAGTGAGCTTTCTAGCCTCCCGCCTGTAGCAGAGCCGAGGGAAGATCCTTCTGAAGTGCAAGACACGATACTGAAAATGAAATGCATGCCCATAAAAAAAAAGTTTCCATGACGGAGCCAACTTAGTTTTACAGCTGAAAGGATTTATTTCTGTGTGGACTATTCCTGGACCTGGCACTACCACAGATGCCTGGTGTGTCACTAGTCCTGATCGGTAACTTTAGCATTCATGATGGAGTAAGCACAGCATTCGCGATGTAAGTCAACACTTTGGCGCTGTAGAAAGCCTGCAACCCAAAAGGAAGCAGTGCTGCCCTGCTTGTCCTTTTGCTGTTGCTAAAAAAGAGAAAAAATGTAATGACAGATTTTCCAATCTCGTCTTTTGTCTGCCTTGTGACTGCTCAAAAATCACGGCACTCTCTACATAATGGGCCGCCCCAGCCCCTCCAATTCCAGTAGCCCAAATTACAGTAACACAGCACAAAATCACGCTTTGCAAAGAGCAAGGAGAAGGGAGGGAAAACACACGAGGCTGGGCAGGGACAGCGCCTCCGAAATACTTCCTGCTCATCGTTACGCAGCACTTTTTCCAAAGTCACAGGGTTTCTGCGTTGTGGGTTTTGTTTTTTTTTTTTTTCTTTTTACTTTAAAGCTCCTCCATATGCCGGAGGCAAAGCAGCTCCCACAGGAATATTCAGTCTCTCGCCTTGTGAAGGGACTTGCAGATTGTGATCCAGTTATGCAGGCACTGTGTGTCAAAGGACTGATAACCATCGTGAAGTGGCCTGGAAAGGTGAAGTTGCGTTCATTTTGCTACCTGAGAAAAGCCGGTGTTATTACACCTGAGGGCTCAGTAACGCTCTAGATTTCTCTTGGCCAGTTTCAAAGCCCTGCAGATCTGCTGCTGATGGATCTGAAACAGATCCTACTCTGTCAGGACGGAGCTGCTGCAGGCAGTACCTCCAACTGCTGTTGAACCCCTGAGGAGGCGGCAGTCACTCACACGCACCTTCTGCCTATATTTAAAGCCATGCATTAGAGTAAGAAACAAGTGTTTGCATCTCATTGGATAAATTCTAAACGGAATAGTATTTGCTTCCCCATCCCAGTTCTCGCTGTTTTA